TCAAATGCATTCCAACATATTTTTTATACCTAAGTCAGAGGCTGGCAAATAACATACTTCTGGATGTTGAATTATGTAATAAGAAGTCTTACATGGGTACTTTCGAGGCTTTGACAAAATGATCTATAATTTAAAAATCCTTAAAACTGGAAAGATCTTCTTCTCCAGTAAAACCATGCTTTTAAAGTTATTTAGAAACAAATGTTAAAGATAACCCTGTCAATTCTGAAATGTTTTCATATTTACCAAAATGAGGTTTTTTTTTTTTTTTCCTTATGGAGAGGCACAAAGGCCATATAATACTCCAAATTTTGCTTTGTGGTTTAGAGAAATTCACTGAATTCCTCTGGGTCTCAGTTTCCTCAAAGGGAACATTCTTCTAGAGATCGGAAGAATTTACTACCAAGTTAAAAGAAAAGCATTTAGCTTTTCTATGCCTGCTTCAATTTTGTGACTTACTTCTAAAGCCAACAATTAGCTACCTTAATCTCAGAGAAGTTCCTCCATTCATCCACCCTGATAGTTTATGCCACGCTGCTTTATCAAAGATGCTGCTCAGATATTTACTGTTCTCATCTTGCAACCAGGGTACTAGCAACAAACTCTGAGTAAAAATTGTATTTCATTTGAATCTTTCAACATGAAAAAATAGGTCCTGGCTGCCTATATACCACAGCACTAAAATGTTCACTTCAGTAGAAAGTAACTTTGCTTTAAAAAAAAAAAAAGTATTATTGCTTACGTAGTTTAGCAAAGTGCTAAAAGCATAGTGAACAAAGAAAAAACAAACAAACAAACAAAAGACCCCACCTGACTAGACCACACATTAAGGTTTTCAGAACCACAAAAAGGAATACATTCTGGGAGACTGAATACGGTTACTTTCATACCACAGAACCCTGAACCTGAACCAATTTCTCACCTTCTAGTCAGAAAGTGCACTGCATAAACAGGTAATATCAATTTTTATGCAAACTGTACTTCTGCACATTTGGTAGAAAAGACAGAGACTTCCTACATCAGAGCACATTTAGGCTATTATATAATGGCTCTGCCTGTCAGTTAACAAATTTCTTTGGGCCATGTCCCCTTCATAGAGTAGTACTGTATCTGTATGGTTATTAAACATTTTCATAAGACTAAGAATGAAATAAGATCTATGGAGAACACAAAAATGAAAGCAGATACTAGCAGAGGTTAAAAGATTTAATTCAACTGAAATAATAAAATTAACCATTAGATACACTGGTATTGGTATATTTCCTGGCCAGAAATTGATTAAACTGGTCAAATGATTTGTGAAAGAAACAAAAAATTAAAAAACATTTTCAGATGCTGGTGATGTATGACTAATGCCTATGCAACAGAAATAAAAAGAATTTAGTGTATACAATTTCTTTAGCACAATTAACTTGAATACATGTTCTCTGGAACATATTATAAGGAACTGCCTATATTTTGAAATAATAACAGCTAACCTGAGATATGGGATCACTTTAAGCAACTCACAAGTATGCCGAAGCTTTTACAGTTATAGAATTATTGGTCACATGACTTCAATTTCTACCTAACCATATTTCGGAGTCCAAAAAAATCACTTACACACTGACTTCCCACTCTGGTCTCCCCTCCTCTCTTCACTTTTTGGGTAAGCCAATTCTCAATACAGCATGTAACTACAGATGTTTTTTCTGCATCTACGCCCAAGCTGCAAAGCAAATTCTTCAAAACAAACAAAAAAGACAAATCACATATTCAGGCCAACTCCTTAGTATATTCCCAAGAAGGCCTACTCCAAGTCTCTTCATCTCATCTTCAGAAGATGCATGGCTTAAGTACTAGATTTGTAATAGTTTCAGAACTAAAGAATCTCAGGAGATATTACTACTAGCTCCTTCGTTTTAATTATAAATAAACCAAGAACTAGAATTAAAGGACTACAGCTTTACAAACACTGAGCCAATTTACTCAAAGCCTCTCCTACACCCTCAATTTCATTGAGTTTATTGCATCTTGATCCATTCATTATGCCTCAGGAGTAGATCTACAGAGGAGTCAAGGACTTAACCTGAAACCACACTGCCTGAATACTGTTACAGCTAGGCCGCTTACTACGTGCATCTCAACAAATCACTAATTCTCTGTGCCTTGGTTTCTCCACTTACAGAGAGAATAGTCATATCCTGCTCATTAGATTGTGACCACTAACACAGGTAAAAGCACTGGAACTGAACCTAGCACATACAAATGCTAAATAAGAGTAAGTTATGACCACTACCATCATTCACTATGGGACCGCTGCTAAATGAGAGCATGCCTCTATTCTACCTTTGCTTCTCTGTTCTCAAATCCGTACTCTCTCCATAACCAAGAACTCAGTTGCTTCAATCATCTCCCCTTCAAGAGCTTTAAGCAAAACTCTTGCACTCTACATTTCTTTCTTTTGATGTCAAGTTTCTTAATTTAGTCGTCTTCATTTCCCACACCTACATACCATAACTTGCTTTTGAAAATTCGTCCTCTGGCTTTAGGATTTTTTTCTCTGAACTCCAATACTACTTCCTCGGAGTACATGCTACCAGACATCCAATCTTCATCTTCAGTTTAAGTTTCTGCTCAAGCTCAAAATCTATCTCAAAACAAAGGATATTTCTAGCTGAGCATTTTATGATGATCTCACACTCAATTTCCCTCATATAAAATAATTTCTAAGGTATCTTCCAACTATAAAAATCTCCAATCTTATCTAAAACAGTATCTGTCACATCCTCTATCCATTCATGTCTAGCCTATCACTTTACTCAAAATTTCCAGCAAACATCCAGCAAACACCCAATTCTACATTTATATCATTTTCATCTTAATCTTCTTAAAATATTTTGTCACATTATCTTCCACTTAAAAACCTCCAATAAACCTCCACTGTTAAGCCCAAATTCCTTAGCTTGGCATTCAAGTTTTTCCTCCAATCTCTTCCCAAACCACCTTTATATTAGAATGCAGTAATCCCCATAAATTCTTATTTACCTCAATCAAACTCTATTTACCACCTAAGCGTATCCAATTTATTTCTGTATAATCACATGACATCTGCCATCCTGGAATGCCTTCCACATTATTCACTTATATCCCAAATGTCTCATGGCTTGGTTCAATTTGATACTTTCCCATTTAATCTTACAGCCCCGGATAATTTCTCCCTCATTTGAATTTCTAAGCCATTTATTGCCTATTGAATTCATTTGCCACTTAGTTATATAATGCCTCACACTGTTATCTAAATGTCTGCATCATCTCTCACATCACAGTACAAATAAGGGATATCATATCTCTTTGTACCCACTGTATATTCCTAGAAAGCTGTGCACAGTAGGCACTAAAGAAACTGTTGGTTGCATGAAGAACACAATCACCTTGCTTCATGAGATACTAGGTACCTCCTCATGTAATCCCATGTAAAAGAAAGAAATTATGGAAGGAATAGTAGAAATAGAAAGTAACTATTCTGTAACCACCACAGTAATAATGATTCATGCAAGAATCATCAATGGGTGCTAGAACCATCACATGAAAGTTTCTTGGGGAAAAGGATATTTATACAGTCTCAAAATATATCTGAACAAATTACTTATGAATTACAAAGGGAAAAAAGGTACCTTCACAGTGGAGAAATCTGGCGGACACCAAGTGATCAAAGTTAACATCACCAATAATGGGATAAACTGACATCATGTGCCTCCTGATGTGATGCACTGAGGACACAACATCACTTATGTATTATTCCTGCCAAAAATGCATAACCTGAAACTAGTCATCAGGAAACAATCAGACAAACCAAAAACCGAGGGACAATCTACAAAACAACTGACCTATACTCTTGAAAAATGTCAATGTGCTGAAAAGACAAGAAGCTCTGGAACTGAGTGTGTGATCCTGGATTGGATCCTGGATCAGAAAACAAACTGCTATAAAGGACATCACTGCTACACAGGACAACTGATGAATCTGAATATGGACTATATTAGATAACAGTATTATATTAATGTTAAACTGCCTGATTTCAAACATTAGTCTTCAGTTAAGTGAGATAATTTCCTTGTTCTTAGGAGAAACATTCCAAAGCATTTGAGGGTAAATGAATTTAAAACTTATTCTGATTCTTCAGCAATAATAGTAATATCAATAATAATAATAATAATAAGTATCAATAGAAAGATTAGCAAAAATGTGGCAAAATGTTAACTGGTGAATCTACAATACAAGAGATCATTGTACTATTTGGTACAACTTTTCCATTTTTTTTTCCAAATAAATTTTTAAAAAACGAACCCTAATACCACACAAAAACTTTGAGAAGTTTTTATTTACCTGTGGTAATTTTACATTTTATCTGACAATCTTAAAGCAAGACATACTTGCAATAGAAGAATTTGTTCTACATAAATATTTGAAAAAGTAAAAACATCTTTTTAGCACCAAAGAAATATTTATAATTTTAATAGCCCAACACTACTTTAACTTTAAAAAACAATTCACATTTACTATAAAACTCAGCTAAAATAATGTCAATTTCAACTGGTGTAAAGTCTTAGTATTTTTTTTAAACAATGTTGTTTTATTACACAGAGAAAGTAGAGAAAGATAAAATGGACTGACTGGTTAAGCATTTTAAGGAAAAAATAATGATCTCTAATTCATAAATTAATAAACAAGCATTCATAAACTAATGAAAGTCTGTTTCCTTAATTATGATTACAGAGAATGTATTTATTGTAAATCACAAACTTCACCTTCCCTCAATTATCAAAAATTGTGATTTTGCTGATCATAAGTTTTGAGTGAGGTTTTATACTACATTATAATACAACTATTAATTGATTACTATTTCTATAGGCTTCCTGGAGCCCTTAAAATTAGTATTTCTAGTCAAAGTATAATATAGTATATAAAGGATTTTCTAGATTCCATATAATTAGCAATAGTCCTTTAAAGTTGGATACCTTATTTATGAGATGTTCGGTAACAACTTCTCTTAGTCCAGTGTAGAGTTTTTCTCCATGTTTATGCAAAACCATTGTATAAGCATTTCTATAGAGCTCCTCAAAACTAAGACCACTGTTATTCTTACGCTGGATTTCTTGAATTGCATTTTTCAGAAGGTCCCAAATGCTGTTTACATATTTTTCATCCATGGTCATCTGTAATATCCAAGAGAGAAAAAGAGACAAAAAGAAACACCAATGGTTGAAAATCTGTATTTGTCCATATAGTAATTATCTTATTATATGCCTAAGATTATAAATCTGTATGACTTATAAGACTTATTGTTTTAACAATAATAAAGGGCTACATTTAAGAAGTTTTTAGAGATGACACAGCAATTTTTTAAAAATCCTTTAAGACCGCCCTCCTTTCTTATATGCATTAAACCCCTCCAATTTAAATGAAATCATAATCTCTGATGTTAATACTTGCTTTATTTAGCCAGAAGTGTAAAGCACACTTTTCCTTAGTTTATTTAGTAGAACACAAGCTCAGAGAGCTACTGAGACAGAGAGAGTTCCATGATTTTAAAAATAATATGGGGGGTGCCTGGGTGTCTCACTTCGTTAAGGCTCAGACTCTTGGTTTTGCTTAGGTCGTGATATCAGGATAGTGAGATAGAGCCCCACGATGGGCTCCACACTCAGCGCAGTCTTAAGTTTCTCTCTCCTGCTCCCTCTGCCCCCTCCCAGTCCTCCCTGCATGCACTCTTCCTAAAACAAATAAATCTTAGGAAAAAAAAAAATTGAGGACATGAACACTATCTTCTCCTGAAGATTTACAGAGCTCCTTAGCAAATTAAAGATTGGAAGAAGACCTGCAGTTAAAAACAAACAATCCTCCCACACACATTTTCTGTTTAACCTTATTTTCTTCCTTTCCCAGTTTAGATTCCAAGTCCATTATATGTAGCTACCTTGTATATACCTATGAATCACTTCCCCCTCTCCAGACCAAAATACTTGCTATTCTAAACCCCATCTACACACCTACTCTTCACATGCACCATGTGTAAATGAAAGTAAATGAATGACATATATACACCAATATTCAACATGTCTCAGTTTAAATTCATAATCACTAACCACCAAGTAGGCCCTGGGTGCAACCCCATAATCCTACATTCTAGACTGACTTTACACCATTTCCTCCAAACTCACTCTTGGATAATGACTTGCTTCCTGTTCCATTGAGAAAACAGAAACAACCTGAAGACATACTGTACAAACCCCAACCATATTCAGCAATCCATATGATTATGTATCAATATACTACTCTACTGTTCTTGAGCTCAAAGTATGAAGTTCTTATACTCAACGTATAAACAGGGACCATAAACATAGGCATCATCAAGGACTTACTAGAAATGCAGAATTTCAGGCTCCACCCCATGCCTACAGAACTATAATCTGCATTGTGACTCCAAGTGATACCTATACAGAATGAAGTTTAGTTCCATCCCAACTCATCTTTTCAAGGACCTCCCTTTATCAATCTCCCTTCTCAGCATCATCAGATTCTTTCCTCTCTGCTAGACAATTTCTATATACATTCAAAATCATCAATTTCCCATCTTAAAAACAAATCCTCACAAACCCATCATTTCTCCAGTACCATCCAAACTTGTCTTTTCCATTTACAAAATCACAAGACTTGAGACATTTCTACATTCACTATCTCCAAGTCTCATTTTTCTCATTGTATCTTGAATCTATTCCAATAAGTCTTTCATCTCTACGGTTTCAATGAAATTACCCAAGGAGGTCACCAGTGACTTCCATCCTGCAAAATCTAAATGGTCAGAGTCTTAGTTCTCATCATTCTTGACCTATCTGGCAGCAACTAAAAGAGCTGTTCACTCCTACTCCTCACTTGCCTTCCAAGCACTACAATCTTGTTTTTCTTCCCATTCCTCTAGTTTCTATTTGTCAGTCTGCTTACTAGTTCTTTCCCTCCCAGCAGCCTCCAAACTTGAACTTCTTTGTGTAGCCACAACTCAGTTTTCAGGTGAAGCTCATTTCATCTATGCTCATGGCTTAAGTTAACATCAATATTTATATACTGTGTTTGACCCTCTCCCCTTGATACCAGAGTCCTATATTCAGCCATGTTTTTTTTTTTTTTTAAAGATTTTATTTATTTATTTGTCAGAGAGAGAGAGAGGGAGAGAGAGCAAGCACAGGCAGACAGAATGGCAGGCAGAGGCAGAGGGAGAAGCAGGCTCCCCGATGAGCAAGGAGCCCGATGTGGGACTCGATCCCAGGACGCTGGGATCATGACCTGTGCTGAAGGCAGCTGCTTAACCAACTGAGCCACCCAGGCGTCCCTCAGCCATGTTTTTAACTGAATTATCTACTAGGTATCTCAAACTTACCAGGTCCAGAACAGAAATCCTAATCCTTGCCCTTAATTCTGCTTTCCCAGCAGTCTTCTCTGAACAAGCAAATGTCCACTCCATCCTTCCAGTTGCTAAGGCCAAAAAAAGCTTGTAATCCCTCAACTTGATTCTAACCCAATAGGAAATTCTTTTGTCTCTACCTCCAAAATGTACCTAGAATCTTACTCCTACTCACCCTTTCCACTACTACTAGCCTTGTCCAAAACACCATCGTCTCTCAAGGTATTCCAAAAGTTCCCTAACTGGTCTGCTCCTGACCCACTATCAAAGAGCAACCAGTGACCTTCTAAAAACATAAATCATGTCACTCTTCTGCTCACAACCCTCAAGTGACTCTTCATCTCTCTTGAAGTTAAAGTCAAAGTCCTTATACAAACTACAAAACATTATTTGGATCTGATAATCTGACTTCATCTATTCTTCCTCCTTGCTCCCTGCTCTAGCCACAGCAGACTCACTTTGCCATTCTTTGGAATATGTCAAACAGATTTTTGCTTCAAGGTGTTTGTATCTGCTACTCTATCTCTCAAATGTTCTTCCTCAGGTATCCCCATGGCTCATTCACTTTATCAACCTCAAAATTCTTGTTCAACCAGCACCATAAAATGAAGCTTTAACTTCATACTCCATTTAAAATAGCAGTCTCCTCTTACTAGTCACCCCCAAATTCCAACCCCACAGTCCCTCATTTTTTTTCCTTATTTCTTTTCCTGCCTCCCTCCTCCCATTCAATGTCAGCTCCATGAAGGCAGCGATTTTTTTCACTGAGGAATCCCTCAGCCACTGAAGTAATACATGGCATATAACAAACATTCATACTTGCTGAGGAAATGATTTCCTGCTAATCTATGACTAAGGAGCTGTTATTACACACCATGTACTGCACTCACAACCTGGGAAACATGGCAACAGTTATTCATCAGCTTCACACCTATTTCTGACTTGGATGGACAAAAATTACTGAGTGGAATCCTCTCTGAAGAGGTTACGAAGAAACTTTTGGAGGTGATAAATATGTTTATTGCATAGATCATGGTGATGGCTTCACACTCTCTTCCAACTTGCATTCGTTAAATATGTATGGTTTTTCCATGTCAGTCACACCTCAATAAAGTGATTAATGAAAAAAAAAACCAAACAAACCACACTCCCTCCAAGCTATGTTCAATGGGTATGAATGTGAAAGAGTAAGGAATGTAGATAACCAATAGTTCTTTCAGTTACCCTAGCAGTAAAATATCAGTTCAACCCTCAATCATAGAGGATTCTTAAGCAGACGACTCCAACAGAGCCTTATTATTCTAATTTCTTCTGAAGTGCTTAAAAGGAATTCTGTAAAAAACAAAAAAAACAAAAAACAAACAAACAAAAAAATAACCCCAACTTTTTTATTACTTTAATCTTATTCAAATCCCAGGTCTAGTAAATACTATTCTGAAAAGGCCTTAAGAGAATTTACCACTAGATCAAAACTACTATCTCTTTTTTTAATCAGATATCCTGATACACAGAATGCCATCCTTATAAAATAGTTTAGTAAGATGTAGTTGTTCATAACTTTTCACAATAAAAGATACAAGTCCATATGACAATCATGGCCTCAAGTACTCTATACACTGAGGTTATAAAAAGGCAGGCTAAGACACCATCTCTAAACATTAAATAATGAACACAAAAAGCAGAACATTCAGAACAATTCCAGAGAAAGACCAAAGTTAATGCTGACTCTAAACTCCAGAGGTAACCATACTGCGAATAGTTGAGCAAAACTTCAAATGATCTTTTCAGGCTCTGTATGATAAGACCCCATGAAAGCTAGAAAATGTACAAAAAGGTCCCTATCCATCACGAATTACTAAATTTTCTATTAGAAATTAAAGAATTTAAAACACATAAACCAAGAGACTTTGAATATTGTAGAAATGCCCTTACATTATAATAAATCATTTCTCACATATATAAACCAAGAGTTGTGTTACAATCCAAGATTTCTACATAGTACTTTCCTCAGTATTCATGCTTTATAGACAGAGCAGAGATGGAGTCACAGGACAACAATGTTTAGGTATAAAAATTTTCAAGTAAATGAAAAAATGGACCCAGAGACATTAAACGACTAACTCCAAATCTCAGACCAGAGATTAGAATTTATATATCCCCAGATCTAATCCAAACCTCTGGACTCATGCTACATTCCACTGTGCTAATACAGTATACCAATATCACAGCGTGACTGATTATCCTGGTAAACACAGTGTGGTATATCAGTAGAGAACATAAGTTCTGCTGTCCAAAAGGCCTGGGCTGGTATCATGGCTTTGCTAAATTAACAGGCCATGTGACCTTGGGCAAGTTACTTTACTCTTCAAAATCTTTTATTTCCTTGCTTATAAAGTAGGTTTAACAACAGTATCTACCTCAGGGCACTATCCTGAAGATCAAAAAAGAATGTCAGTAGAATTTAACCCAGCTCGGGGTACAGCACAATCCCTCACAGTTGACTAAATAAAGTGTCCAATAATAGAATCTCCGAACTGTCAACTACGGGCATCAACTGTCAGAAAAAAAAAAAAAAAAAAAACTTATCAAGCTTAATAAATAAACAGATAGGAACTAAAACAAAAGTACCTGAAAAGTACAAGTATGCATACAAGTCAGTATAATGTAGCCTTCTTTTGGAAACACTATTCCCTACTTTCCATCTCCTATTTTTCGGTGCCATTTAAAACATTTTATTCCCCAGAGCTCTGTCCTGAC